CCAGTGACGATTGCTCTAAGGTGCGGAGGTGTGCGGTGAACACCCTAACATAATTTCCAAAATGTCAAATAACATTGAAATATAAATTTATTAAGTATCTTCACATCAAGAATTATTATTAATTATTACATTTCCATATACATATATATTTTTTAAAGTTTTAGCAAAAACAATTAAATATAATTGTCTATGAAAACTCAATCAATTTGCTTCTGTTAGCTGCTATAGTTGTTAGTTTTGCTCATACATATATTTGCAGCTCAAATCACAGAACATTTCTATTTTATTTCGTCTCTCCCCTTTGTGTGCAAAGAAGTTGGCAGCACATTCATACGTTGCATATGAACAAAATAATGTGCGTGTGCTCCCGTTCGTAATATCAGAGATAGAGATTTATATAGTGGGAATTGTATGAGAGTAAATTTTTGTTGTATTCGAATATCAACTGCATGCATACGAATCCAACATGATGATTTGCCAAAGTGGTTGCGTGAGCGGCTGAAGTTTGCAGCTCATCTCAGCATACATTTCTATCACATTTCGTCTCTCCCCTTTTAACAGTAGCACCCACGAATTTCTGTTCTTACTGTGCGGAGTACTTGTGCGCACATTTGTACGTTGCAAGTGGGTTTGATTTTGTTTGATCACTGGATAAACATGTATGGTTCTGAGTTAAAACTCTTTTGTTTGAAAAAAGTTGGTTTGATGTTACAAGTATATGAAAAGTTTTGTTTCTTCCATATTGATATAATATTAAATTTATATATAAATTATTAATTTAATTTGTTTAATATGTTCTTATGTTAATGAATTGTTAATATAATATTGCGCGAATATATTGTTGCCTTATATAATATAGTTATTATTAATAAAAGATCTCATATATTTTAATATAATTGGTACATGTAAAAACAATATTAAAGAAGGGCCGCACACCCTTCCAGATAGGGCACGCGTCGTCACTGCTATTAGCCATAAATAATGTTATAATAATAAGCATATCATTCAACCAGTTAGTTTGTGAAAAGTTGTTTAAAGTTATTTTATATATATATATATAGATATAGCTTTTATATATATATATATATATATATATTTTTATATATATATTACTATAAAATATATGAATATGAATTTCAAGAGTTAGATTGCAAAGAGAAGGGAAGGAAAAGATTTTCGGCAAGGATGTCTACGGTAAAAATGTTTATCTGCGTTCACTAAAAACACGAAACTATTTTTTTAAAAAGAAAAAACAGATTCATTAAATATGTTTTACCGGTGATTCACTTAGGCCTATATGCTCATTGTATTATTAATTAATTTACAACTTCAATTAATTTTTGAACTTTAACCTGCTATTGTCAGAGATCCAGATATCTAGGAAAAAAACTGGCTGCAGATTTAAGCTCAGCATCGTTAAATCAATGATAAAACCATTTTAAAATCAAACAAGACAAAAAAATATAATTTGCAATAGTGAAAACCGTTGTGTTTATATGAGATAATATTTCAACTATTAATAATTTTTATTAGAAGCACTTAGATTAGGTAAGATTAACAAGGTATCTGTTAATACAAGGCATTGTGTTCTCATTTAATTTCTCACATGAAGCAAATGATTATTATTATTTTTAATATGTGATGTCGTGACTATTGTGCCCCTTCTGGGTTCAAAGTAAAACTCTAAGCCCTATTGCGTCGACAAAAATTAGTATAGAACCTATTGCACAGCCTACTATGTAAGGGTATGTATTCTCAGGAGTCTATTCCAAATGTACATTAGCGCAGGGCATTCTAACAGAACATGTGTGACAGACTCTTCATTTATTCCCAGAATCTACAGTTTGCATCTGTAGAAATGCCCACTCTCGTAACGTGGAATTTCAATTTACAGTGTTATGTTAAGATTTCTCTGATGATTGTAAGTTCTTTTTCTTTAATAAATCCATACAATCCTGATATATCGTATTGATACCAACAAGTGCTTTGGATTATGTTAATCCTGGTACGTTATCCCTTTTTGTTTTGCAGTGCAAGTGATTGTTTTTTAGTAACTGTATGTACTATCTTATAAATATAAGAAAATGATCCCCTAAACGACAAATTGTCTCTAGTTCTAAACAAAGATATGAAAATTGCACTTCCTCTTCATTATTGCTCTTCAAACAACTGCAGGTTTATCATAAGATTTATAGTGGCCTCACAATCCTTCCAAATAGTCCATAAACTATTCATTAATACAATTTATACAGATTTATAGTGACCTCAAAATCCTTCCAAATAGTCCATAAACTATTCATCAATAGAATGATAGTTTTATATGTGGTTGTCAAGATGTCTATATTGAGTTATAGGCCAAATAAAATCGAATTTTTACGTTAAGTGTCTTTAACTATACAGTCAAATAGAGGGTATACAATTGTTTTATCTTAAAATACTGGTTTAAAATGTTTTCTGTAAGTCTACACATAATTTTAGTTATAATTAGATATTACTACTTATAAAACCCGACTTGAATTTAGTCAACAGTTTAAACTCCAACACAATAACTGAATTTAATCCCTAAAACACATATCAAATTTTAATATTTAAAAAAGTTAAAATGAGTTTTATATGATATTGAGCTTTGTTTATTTAAATGAAAATAAAGCTTTAATTAATTGCGCCTCCCTTTCTTTTGGATATGAGTTTTCAGAAACATTTCCCAAACCTTTGTTCGATCAGAATAAAAATTAACCCAAACCAACATATCACTTTCGAATGAGAATGCAGGTATAAATTTAATGTCATAACGATAACCGCGCACATAATAGATAACATCCTTTTGGAATGGGCACTTTTTTGGAAAATTGCTGTACTTATCCATATGAGCACGGCCCAGTTGTACCAGAGCTATTTGGTTTTCATTGCCCAACATTTGACAACCATCCGCTCTACTTATATTTATCAAAACAAAATTTCTCGGCTTACGTGGAAAAACAATTACCAAGTCGAAAAAAAATTTCTTAACGTCACTTGAAAAGGTGATCTCCAAATTGAAAGTTCGACGTTTCTTATTTTTACTCAAATGGCAATTCGTCTGTGTGACTATTGAGCTGGTAGCATTGCACTGATGAACATCGTAAATCATTTCCATTTCAGCCTGTTGAAATTCAGATTTCATTTGTGTTAACGTTAGTATATATGTAATTTTGAAATGTACTGACCTTTACTTCAACGTTATAATTAAAATGATAAATCAAGAAATATATGCCAAATGTAAAATATTTCATTATGTATATGTCAGAAGAGATATATGATATAATGACAGTCAGCACATGTTTTACAATAACTTAATTCTTAAATACAAGTAATTATATTCAAATTATTTCCATATATTCAAATACGTATATTACCCTCATTTTGTATATATTATAAGTAATTATTTTTTATTGAAAACAATATAGTTCATGGTTTTTTTGTAAATAATTATACTCACTTCAATAATTTGTTAATTGCTTTATAACAGCTGTAAAGCCACCGAAAACAATAATAATAATACAAGTCATAAAGTTTATTTCATATAATCAATTTCTGAAAATCGGTGACTATATGAATAAATATGAAGTGGAGGGAAGAAGTATCAATACGTTAGAAAGCGAACTAGTATGTTTTATACTGTAAGCAAATGTTGATTCAGAGGTGGCTCAAGGGAGAGATTTACCCAATTTCACAGTTCTCTTCCCGGCGGATCTAAATTTCAAATATCTTGTAGACCAACCACTACTGCTCCTGAGGATCATATACCATTTGTCACCCTTTTAGAAATACACAAATAAAGATTTAAAAAAAAGGTAAAATGTACAGAATACATTTTTATATACAGAAGTCATTTTATTAATTATATTATCAGTTCTAAAACTGTCGTGCTTTCAATAAAGACGTCTCTAGTCTGAAGTTTTTTAGAGCATACCGTAGCTTTTTGGTCATATGAGATTTTTCACATTAGAACTTTTATATAATATTAAAATAGTTTTAATCTCGATTAACTGAAACATGAGTTTATATATTGATTTATTGTAAGGAAAAATAGTAGTTCAAAACACTAATATTTCATATCACCACAACATTAAATGCAGATGACTCATATGATTCAAAAAAATACAAAACATTACTTCTAAATTACAGGACTGAGAAAGTTGATAGATTCTTACAGTTCAGCCAAAAGTATAAATTCGAATCTATAATTAGTGGCTATTATGAAATGTCTATTGGTAGACAATAGACATTTGTATACTGAGTCGATTGGCAGATAAATTTCATATTATGAAACTTGATAGACAAACAAGTGCACTATATGATGCATGATAGCACTATTTATATCAGCAAAAATTATGCCGGCACAAAAACTAATGCTCAGTGGTACAATTTTTCCAAACAAATGTTAAGACAATATCGTTGCAATATTATATATATGTGTAAACTTTAAAATTATAAAATAAAATGCCAAAATTTAGTGAAAAATCCAAACTGAAAAGTATTCACACAGATATTTTTGTAAATAACTTGATTGTGTTAAAATGCAATTTTGTATTGAAAACAGATTTTTTATATTTGTGAAAACAATTTATCATACAAGAGATGATACTTAACTTAGAAAGTAAATAAATTTATAAGGTTCATGAGGTTTATAAATAATGAACAAACACCTCTGTTAACAATCTTTATTCTCAATATACAATATATAACACTTGAAAGCCGATATATTAAATGGGTAAGCAAATGAAAATGTCAATGAATTAATACTAATGATTAAATTTTGCATATTCAATAATTTTAAATTTATATGTTAAATTGACTATATAATGCGTTTCAACAGCTTTTTTTTTTTTGATCGACAAACTTCTTTGACCTTCTACTGCTTAAACACAATAGATAAATTTATCTATTGCTGATAGAAAAAGTTCCATGGGTTTATAGTTCACGATACCAAAATTCGGTTTTGTCTGTCACCGATAGAAACTTCTCTATTGTCTATCGGCAATACACAACCCACAATAGGGACTATTGATTATAAAACTAGCAAAATAGGTCTATAAATCTTCATCTGAATGCGATAAGAACATTTTCTTTTAAGGAAAAAATGTTATATTACCACAACATGAATTTGTGGTGATATGATATATATATAACATTTGATATACACCAAAAAATTGTAAATTTCATATAAAAATATAATATTTGTGTATTTCAAACAAGCTCACTGATACTCACTCATAGCAAGCCTCTACTTGCTATGAGCCTAGAATGCTAGTAATGGTCGGAAACTATTTTCATGTCTCCGAAACTCTGGCATCTTATATAAAATATTAGAAACAATAGATGAAAACAAACTTAATTCATTTTTGTTCTTTTAAAAATTCAATAAAAATTCAAACTAGTTAACATTTTATTTATTATACATATTTATTTCAGAATAATTTACCTCTTTTTAGGATAATATGACTAATAATTGCACCATTGGAAACTTTTTTCTTCCCAGCAAAAAAATTATAATATATTTCAACTGCAGTATCGAAATTAAAAGCGGGAAACATTTGCATATCAAATCGAAAGCCTCTAATGTAATACAAAATTTTCTTTTTAAAAGGACAAGTTTTTGGCATATTGCTATAACGTTCCATATTCTGGCGAGTTAAACCCAAGAAGGTTACTTGATTTTTATTGGCTAAATATTCACAGCCATTTATTTGAGTCATATTTAATAAAACGAAATTCGAAGTTTTACGTGGTAAAACGACAACAATATCTAGAAAAAATGGATTCAGATCCTCCGAAAATATCCATTCTATGGAAAGGGTTCGCCTTTTATTGCTTCTGCTCAAACTACATATGAATTTTTCCACAATAGTTTTATCTTGAATTATAGTTGTGCAATTCTCAAAATTCATCTCAAATTCATTCTACATATAATAAAAATAAATAAAAATATTTTTTTAATGAATTTATACTTAAAAAATAAATTCAAACAAACCTTTGCAGCAAATGTAATCCTAATTGTATACAATAAACAAAATATGAAAAATAAATATAATTTTGCCATTTTTATTTTGAATGATTTATTAAATTCTAAATTTTGGTTTTCGTTTGAATGACAAATTTATATTAAATTTTAAAATATTTTGAAAGCTTTGAGTCAACAAATCTTTTCGAGTTTTGTTATTTGAACATAACAATAAATGAACATAAACAAAATTTATATTATTATTTTCATATTAACACAATTATTAGTCAATTTTAAATAATTACTGTGTAATTATTATTGAGTGATATGGCATTTATAATTATATTAGAAAACAATTTGTTGATAAAAATAGAATAATTGATTTTTAGTACATATAATAATCTAATTAAATAAATCCACTTATTACAAAAATGTTTGAAGGCTGGATTTATCTTTGTAAGATTGTTTGATAAAGAATGCATCTTTCGTATTACAGTGGCATATACTTTTGTCTAAAAAGATATATGACTTTTGTCTACAAAGATGAAGTTACTTTAGTAAATCTTAGCAGTTACTAGATAACTTAAAGTAATTAATAATTTTCCGCATTGCGCATGAATATAATAAACTTGATTATAATATTATTGGTAATAGTATAAGATTTGAGTTCAAAAGATCTCAAAAAAACAGAATTAAAGATAATAACTTCCATTGCAGATGTGTGGAAAAAAAGCTGAAAAAGAAGTGAACTTGAGTATCAAACTTAAACACTTGTGGTAGCTTTACCTGAGGGTTAAATTAACACTCTCACATTTTTATTAGTATACGCTCTTACAAAAAGTTTCAATTTTAGCAATAAGATTAAGAATTAAAAGCAATAGAACAAATATATATTAATCAATTTTGGAAAATTTCAACATTAAAATATTAAATAAAACAGCTCTTTACCACCAGTATTTGAAAATGGCATATATTTTACAATTGCCACCACTGCTTAAGGATATCACTGGTTTCATAGTAATATATCAAATAAAGAGAGTCAACATTAGGATCGGGATCTAACATATATTAATATTAGTAAATTCTGTATCTAAACGTCATGCTCTTGATTCTGTTGTCTATATTCTCACAAGATTAATTTAAATTTTAAAAAAAGGTGACCTATAACCGGATAGATAATATATAAAAAACATTAAAAAAACCATGTCGAAAAACAGATTCAAAATTTAATAAAAAATAACCATTACCTGAAAGAACAAATTAAATTGAATTTCTGACAAAGACAACTATTTCAACGTTTTTTTGACAGAGTAGTATTCTTTGTCTTCAAGATAACGTTGAAAAGCACAGCAATTACTAGTATTCTAACGCAATACAAATCAGGAAGGCACGATAGAAGTATATAATGAGTTACCTAGCATAATTTGCGCTACCTCCTCAACGAAATGAGACTAACTAATGGAATGGACTAAAACATTTATTGCGAAGGAAATAGCTTTTTTTTTTCTGACATTGTATGTGAATCTTTAGTTTTGTTCTGAGTTAAGAAATTATTTAAATTTTTGATCTGAAGAGGTAATATAATAAAACCTTTATAGCAAAACACATTCTTTAGGCACGCAGAATGGCTTCTATTTAGTTAAAAACTAACTTATAGTTGAAAAAAAAAGTTATGGTCACAATTTTCTACTTATTTGAAGACTTTATCACTAGTCTTTTATTAATTATTATAATTGTGTTCATATGAGAGAAGACAGTTTACAATAATATATATTGTTTTATAGGTTTTAATGTTTTGTTTTTAAGGTTATCATTATTTTTTGCTATAATTATATTTATTAGTAATTGGAATTCGAACAGTTAACAAATACTAATACGTTACCGTAGTACAATACATAAATATTGATAACAAAGCCGACATATATAAAAGGAGTAATATAGTCTTCCACAAATTTGTAAAACATAAGAGAATATTATATATAAGACTTACGTAGTGTTTAATAAAAATATAATTTTAAAAAATAAATATGTGATAAATTGGAGATTACGTATAACGTGTCAGAATGTTCAAAAATATGTCAAGTACGTTTAATACAATATATAATCCCGACATATGTACTTTGAGTATATTTTTAATATCGAAAGATATAATTTTATACTTTACATACTCTCTGTACTTA